ATTACGGAAATGGGTGTGAAATAGTAATTATATTTGACTATTCTGAAATCAGTCTGACCTCAATTATGAGGTGGATAAAACTATTTTTACTTATTTAAATCACGTGATTTTTTTCAGTTTGACATGCTATGTTGTTCTGCTATATTTTCGATTTGGCCTCTATTTGTCATCGATGTGACATCGCATTTTACCTTATTTCAAAGGATTCGGCTAAAAATGTGTATTTGGGGGTGAAAATCTTACACAAAAATTTCAACATATCTACAAATTTTAGAATTTTCTCCATGTAATAGTACCGCCTCAAGTCCACCTTTTGGCGGACAAACAGACCGACATGGTTAGGGGGACTTATGAGGACTCTAATGCACAATCTGAGGTGCTAATGGGTTTAAAAAAGTAATTAACTTTGGCTATTCTTAAATCTATTAGCCCTCAATTATGAGGTGCACAAAGTACAGTAAATTCCAAATTACTGCTCATTTGACTAAAAATTAAAAACTAATCGACCAGTACGTGAACATTTATAACATTCATATCTTTGAATAACTATGCTTTGACAAATATGCATAATAGACAAAAACTACGGGCCGGCAACGCGGACCGGGCCAGCTAGTATGAGATATTTGATAATATTTCGATAAGTTCCAGTTTTATGAGCGTTATAACTATTTAAAATTTTGATCCCATGTGGGGGAAGAACCAGAAGGAGTAGTCCTATATTGTCCATCTTCACAACACATCTTGTGTGAATAGAAGTATTGGGATGTACGGAGTTTGAAAGTAATCAGATTCCATTCAAAATTTTGACCCTTTGTGGGAGAGGTACCAGGAGGAGTGGTCCGTTCAATCCGTTCTTCATATTTGAAGATAATCGAACTCTTGGTTCATATTTTATAAACGTTATAATTATTTAAAATGTTGACCCTTTGTAGAGGACGTACCGGAAGGAGTGGTCCGTTCAATCCATATAGGGTGAGATGAAAAAACTGCAACCAACTTCAGATTTCTGTCATTTCTAACCCACTCGTCCGATAGCTTTTAAAATTATTCCAGTGACAGCTCATTATAATGTTTACAATCGTACAAAAGCATTTTGATGAGAATTTTCCAGAAAAAAACATTTGTTTGTTTATATTTGACTGGAAAATCACAAGTGGCTATTGTCAGAGCACTCGAGCATTTCAATGTGGTAGCGTAGCCCGACGTCAAGGAACTGAACGGAAGAAAACAACAACATCAGCAGAAATGGTTCGAAAAGTAAAAAAGCGACCTAATCGAAACCCACGTGGCCGAAAAATGGTTCATGAACTGAACATATCGCAATATTCCATTCGGCAAATATTGAAAAATTGGTAAAGCCATTGAAATTACAAAAAGGGCAAGAGCCCACACTGCAACAGAAAGAAAATAGACTCAAAAGAGTTAAAGAGTTGCTTCGCTTAGTGTACTCCCTAAAGTAGTGAACTGACGAATTTGGTTTTCTCCGATGAGGAAACATTCGTTGTCTAGCAGTTTGTAAACAAACAAAATGATCGTGTTTACTTGCCTAAGAGGTCAGCTGAAAATGTACACCTCGGACTCACCTCAAGCAAGTGGACTCAATGGCCCAAAATACCGCAGAGCAACATTCGGGCAGCGTGTGACGGTTTCATTGACTGTTTGAAGGCCTTAATTCATGCCAAAGGTAACCAATTCGAAGAAATCTTAACTTATTCCAAGATTGATGCTAATTCCGAAATTTTTTGCTTTCATTCAATATTCAATTAAAAAAATGTAAAAATTTTGGCGTTTGAGCTTTTGATTCACTCCCTCTGGTACCTCCCCCACACATTCTCACAATTTTGAATATCCATGAATCATACATTGAACCCGAAATAGGACAATTTCTTCTCGTACATCCCTCACATAGGGTTCAATATTATGAAAACAAAACGCTCAAATAAATCGAAATGATCAAATTTCACACATACAAATATTTTTTTAACACAATATCTGTTGTGAAGATTATATATATCTGCGAACCCCTTCTGCTACCTCACCACACAAAGGGTCACAATTTTCTCTCAACCAGAAACCTAAGATAAATATTGTATTTATAAATTCGCATAAAATTGGATTTCGAAACTTTTTACTTGTTTTTTTTTTTTTTTTTTTTTTTTTTGTACCCTACGCAACTGGGTGGTCAGGGTATAATGTCTTTGTGCATTTGTTTGTAACAGGCAAAAGGAAACGAGATAGACCCATAGTTCCTTTTGATGATCTGCATAGAATCACATTCTGAGTCGATTTATGCATGTCCGTCCGTCCGTCCGTCCGTCTGTCTGTCTGTCTGTCTGTCTGTCTGTCCGTCCTTCTGACCATGTATTTTTGTAAAAAAAGTACAGTTCGCATTGGTCATTTGTTTGGACCAATGACTAACCCAATTGAAATTGGAGATAATCGGTCAAAATTTAGACATAGCTCTCATATATATCTTCGTCCGATTTGCCTTCTATTGTGCACCAAACGTGTAATATCAGCCCGAGTAGTATGGAATGTTGCACATACAACCAAATTAGGCCAAATTTGATCGAAATCGGTTCAGATATAGCTATAGCTCCAATATATATTGTTTATCCGATTTGTTATTTTTGTCCTCCGCAGCCATAATATGCACTCTGTAACAACAAGATTTTGGGAAAAATATCAAATAAAACTCAGAAATACATTTGCTAAATTTTATCGAGATCGGTTCAGATTTGGATATAGCTCCCATATATAACTTCGTCCGATTTACATTTTATTGTGCACCAAACGTCTAATATTTGTCCGAATAAGATGGAATTTGGCACTTACGACCGAATCGAGTCTAGAAGCTAGTATGTCAAATTTGGTGAAAATCGGTGAAGATATAGCTATAGCTCCCATATATACTCTTCATCCGATATTTGTTACCCACAGCTGTTATTTGCACTCCGTAACGACGATTTTTAGGAAATATATCAAATACAGCTCAGAAATATCTTTGCCAAATTTTATCGAGATCGGTTCCGATTTGGATATACCTCCCATATATATCTTTATCCGATTTCAAGTTAATTGTGCACCAAATGGGTAATACAAGTCCGAGTTTAAAAGATACAAATGCTTCGGCATATTCAGTCCTTTCAACTTTAAATTATAATAATCATAGCTTGTATGAACTTTTAATTGTTATGCGGAGCTCTACTAAATTAGCAAAGTGGTGTAGGGTATCATAAAGTCGGCCCCGTCCGACTTTAAGACTTTCTTTACTGTTTTTTTTTTTTTTTAATTTGAAATTTTTTGGTGGAGATACCCTGAGCCGGTTTGTTTTATCTAATACTCACAAAAATATTTGAATGTAGCTAGTTTAAGGAAATTCGAACCGACATATCACATATCCGTATAAGTTATATAGTTGAGCAAAATATTAAGATATACGAAGTTTAAATAAAATTATTCAATACCAGAAGAAGTGAACCGATTTCGATAGTTTTTTTATGACCTTAAATGGTTTCAAGCGTCAAGAAGTGAAAAGTTTGTGCAAAACCAGATATCCCTTTGCTACTTAGAGAGTAAATTATTTTCTTTGAATATTTTTAGCATCTGTGAAAATTGTTGCAAAAGGTGTGTACGGATTTCCCAATATCCTGATGAGGATTTCATTCAAAAAGACTCGTGGTCTACAACTGTTATTTCGATGGGGTACATATTGGCTGTATCAAATGATTAATACCCTCAGCAGTTATATGGCTGAAGGTACTCACATAGGTATAACCTTAAAGTCCAATTTCGCAGAACTTGAGCATTTCTAGGTTGTCTTCAAGCATCTAGTGGATCTCAATACAAAAATTGATAGACAATTTCAACTATCCGCTGAAAAATGTTGCTGTACAAATTTTTGTTTTTATATCCTCCACCATACATAGTATGGATGGTATATTAAGTTCGTCATTCCGTTTGTAACTCATCGAAATCATCATTTTAGACCCAACAAAGTATATATAATTTTTTTTGGATCAGCGTAAAATTCTAAGACGATTTAGCCCTGTCCGTCCGTCCGTTGTAATCTGTATAAACGAATTAAGATAGGAAGCTAAAATTTTGCACAAATTCCTCTTTTGTCTGCAGGCAGGTCAAGTTCGAAGATGGGCTATATCGGTCCACGATATCGTATAGCCCCATATAACGGTGCCCTCCGATATTCGGTATTTTGAAAATTTTAGCCACATTTTTAAACGGAATTGTCTGATAATCCACACAAGGAGTTCCTTGTGGGTACTTTATCCCGTGGAGGAGAATTATCTATATAGGTCCACGATATCGTATAGCCCCCATATAACGGTACCCCCCGATATTCGGTATTTGGACGATTTTAGCCATATTTTCCTATGGTATTGTCTGAAAATCCACACAAGGAGTACCTTGTGGGTACTTTATCCCTTGGAGGAGAATTATCTATATAGGTCTACGATATCGTATAGCCCCCATATAACGGTACCCCACGATATTCGGTATTTTGATGATTTTAGTTACACCTTTCAACGGAATTGTCTGAAATCGTACACAAGAGGTTCTTTGTGAGCACTTTACACCCTGACAGAGAATTCTCTATATAGGTTAACGATATCGTATATCCCCCATATAACGGTACCCCCGATATTCGGTATTTTGATGATTTTAGCCATATTTTCCTATGGTATTGTCTGAAAATCCACACAAAAAGTTCTTTGTGAGCACTTTAACCCACAATATCGTATACCCCCCCAAATATCGGCACCTTGCGATGTTAGATATTTTAAAATTTAATGGATTTTATTTTTTGAAAATTTTCTAATTCGTTCCAAATGGTATAGGGTATTCAAAGTTTGGCCCGGCCGAACTTACTGCTTTTTTACTTGTTTTCATTATTACCGTCATATCTTCCTTCTATACAAAATAAGTCATATCGAAAATTATATTCTTTTAACCAAAGTTATTTATCTATTGAAACAACTTACCATCAAATGAATCAAAGAATCCGAAATTAAGTATCGATGGATTGGGTTGAAGGAAAGGATAACCAGATCCGGTATCAATTACTCCCTTAAAATCATGGAAGTCATCACCATCATCCGTTTCGGCTTTGGTTGATACACGGCGAGGATAGCCAATCACTTCGGCATCATCACTTGGATTGCGTGCTAGAAAAACAGAGAAGAGATAAATTAATTACTCAATCACATTTAATTAATAAATTAAAAATTTTATAATGAAAAAAAAACCGAATGCTTTCAATATTAAAATACGTTTGCAGATTGCTTAAAGCTGCTCTAATTAAATTTTAATTTTCCCAGCCAACAACATTTTCCACTTTCCTACAAAGTAGACTCAAATCATTAATCACTTGGGGTGATTAATGAAAACCAAGGCATAGAACTTTGACGGTAAAGCCTTTTTCATTGTTCGCAAGGATAACAAAGTAATTCGTCTATTTTTAGGACGCCCACAAAATTTTGCAACAATACACCAGACGCTTGTCCATTAGCTACGTTGTCATTAGTAGAATATTTAAGGTTTTACAACAGATTGGAGCTTTAAACAATTTCTGGCACGGAGAATAAATGGTCAGCAATAAATGAATGCCTCCCCTATAGAAATTAATTTTTAAAAAGTTACAAACTTCCCAAATCCCCCTTTCGAATATCGTCTTAATTTTGACAAATGAACATTGGCGCAAAAGGAAAATTTATGAAACAAAACCAAGGGAGGTGCTAAAACAACACCAGAAGCAACTGTTGGCTCGCCATCATAACTGAGACAGGTGTTAATGGTTAATGAGTTGATTGTTTTTCCTTTTCTTTTCATTTATTGTTCTCTTTTTTTAACAAAAAATTCTAATTAAAATTATATTGTTTTACACAGCTGGCTCAGCTTATTTCATATTGCGGTAATTGCTCGATTTTGTGAGTCCTACTCCTACACAGACAATGACAAGCCGGCCCGAAGGCTTTACTGTTGCGATAAAATCCTTTTGATTAATTTTTGTTCAAATTTGCATAATAAATATTTTAATTCAATGTTCTGCCAAAAATTACACCAGCAGCATTTATGTAATAAAAATAAGACTGAGGGAGGTTAGATATGACTGGTCACCTTATTTAATGCCCTACATAAAAAGTACAGAATAAACCAAAAATTCGAGAATTGGTTAAATACACATATCTATATTAATAAAAGAGTGAAGTAATTTTCTGACTGGCTGACTTAACGATTCACCAACGCCCAGACCCTTTGGTACATCTATCATACACCTCATCAGTGGCCCTCATACCAAATGTAAAAGTACTACCTCTATTTCTTCCTCAAAAAAAGGGGACCATATGTAGTACATTTAAGCACTTTTCGTACCGTTCTAATAACAAGCCGGCTGAAGGTAAAATCTTGAAATGTTGGGTGGTCCTAAGGGGTCAGATAAGGCTGGGTTTTTGGAAATTTGTGTTAGAACGGTACGAAAAGTACTAAAAGGTACGACATATGATACCCTTTGTAGTTTTGGAACCAATAGAGCTAGAACTCTTAAATTTGCAACGACCGTCACTGATGAAGTGTATGACAGCTGAACCAAAGGGTTTTTTGAAACTCGAACTCTAATTGTACGGAAAGTACAAAAATGTACTACATTTCGTATCATGTGAACGGTTAGAGCTAAAAACTTGAAATTTAGAATGGGAATCAAGTTTGAAGAGTTCAGTCGATATAAGTTTTAGATGTTTCTACTCATGTATACGAAAGGTACTAAACGGTAAAAAATTCAGTACAACTTGAATTTTGAGAAAGGGATGGAGCTGGAATCCTGAAATTTAAAATAAACATTAATGGCGTAGTGTAGGATTGCGATATGGAAGAAGTTTTTTGAAATTTGTACCTATGTGCGCGAAAAGTACTAAAGAACTTCTCATAGAAGACCAGAAGTTCTTCTCATAGAAGACCAGAAGTTCTTCTCATAGAAGACCAGAAGGTCTTCTCATAGAAGACCGGAATGTCTTTTCATAGAAGAGCAGAAGGTCCTCTCATAGAAGAGCAGAAGGTCCTCTCATAGAAGACCAGAAGGTCTTCTCAAAGAAGACCAGAAGGTCTTCTCATAGAAGACCAGAAGGTCTTCTCATAGAAGACCGGAAGGTCTTCTCATAGAAGACCGGAAAGTCTTCTCATAGAAGACCAGAAAGTCTTCTCATAGAAGACCAGAAGGTCTTCTCAAATACGAGCAGAAAGTCTTCTCAAAGACGAGCAGAAGGGATTGGGATATGGAGGAAGTTTTTTGAAACTTGTACTTATGTGCACGAAAAGTACTAAAGAACTTCTCATAGAAGACCAGAAGTTCTTCTCATAGAAGACCAGAAGGTCTTCTCATTGAAGACCAGAAGGTGTTCTCTTAGAAGAATAGAAGGTCTTCTCCTAAAAGACCAGAAGGTCTTCTCATTGAAGACCAGAAGGTCTTCTCATAGAAGACCAGAAGGTATTCTCATAGAGGACCAGAAGGTCTTCTCATTGAGGACCAGAAGGTCTTCTCACAGAGGACCAGAAGGTCTTCTCACAGAGGACCAGAAGGACTTCTCATAGAGGACCAGAAGGTCTTCTCATAGAGGACCAGAAGGTCTTCTCACAGAGGACCAGAAGGTCTTCTAATAGAGGACCAGAAGGTCTTTTCATAGAGGACCAGAAGGTCTTCTCATAGAGGACAAGAAGGTCTTCTCATGGAGGACCAGAAGGTCTTCTCATGGAGGACCAAAAGGTCTTCCCATTGAAGACCAGGACGTCTTCTTATTAAAGACCAGAAGATCTTCTCATTGAACACCAGAAGGTCTTATCGTTAGAAGAGCAGAAGGTCCTCTCATAGAAGACCACAAGGTCTTCTCATTGAAGACCAGAAGGTCTTCTCATGGAACCCAAAAGGTCTAGTCATAGAAGACCAGACGGTCTACTCAAAGACCAGAAGGCATTATCATAGCAGACCAGAAGGTCTTCTCATAGAAGACCAGAAGGTCTTCTCATACAGGACTAGAAGGTCTTCTCATACAGGACTAGAAGGTCTTCTCATACAGGACTAGAAGGTCTTCTCATAGAAGACCAGAAGGTCTTCTCATACAGGACTAGAAGGTCTTCTCATACAGGACTAGAAGGTCTTCTCATAGAAGACCAGAAGGTCTTCTCATACAGGACTAGAAGGTCTTCTCATACAGGACTAGAAGGTCTTCTCATACAGGACTAGAAGGTCTTCTCATAGAAGACCAGAAGGTCTTCTCATACAGGACTAGAAAGTATTCTCATAAAGAACCAGTACATTTTCGATTTGAGTGAACCGAACAATTAGTATTGATTGTATGGATAGTGTTAGATTTCCGAATTTTGGTATTGACGTCAGAATTGGTATGTACTGTATTATAGATAAATTTTATGTTAATTCAATATTTTTTATTCGAAATCTAGAATGGAAAAGTACTCCAATATTGTTGTGCACCAACCTTTTTCAACTAGAAGAGGTTCTCTACTCTAAGCCATTGGCTTGTAGAATATAATTTTCCGTTATACAACTTTTTGTTAAATCTTTCCAGGTTATATAATACCTATGGTGTAGGGTATATGTAATGCCAAATATTTGCCCTTATAAGCTCTATTACAGAAGCAACAGATCGCGTAACACTTTCAACCAACACTACCCCCAACTAATTTTCATAATTCCTCGTAAGTCGCAATTCTTCTTTGTCTTCCTTTCACACACCTATGTGGCGGTGTCACATTGTCTCAGCATTTGATAAATTAAGACCAAATCTTTGTGGGTAGCAGTGTTGGGTTATGACGCCGGTATGCAACAAATTTTCACCTTCATAGCGAGCTACTTTATTTTAGTGGGTAACGGTTTGTCTTGGTGTTTTTCGTGGTTTTGCAACTCATTTGTTAAAATGGTATATCTTCTAGGCTGTTTATTATTTAAGGTATATGGTGGAGGACATCACGACAACCTCACAGATGAGGCATACTGACATCATCTGGTTACTTGTCTTCCTACGTTTATTTCAATTTGTTGGAAAGTATTTAATACAAAATGAATAGAAGGGAACCCTTTTCGTAGAGGTTTGGTTGTAAGTTTCTGTGAGATTTTCCACAGGAATGTAAAACATGCAAACCAAGGGTGGTGCTAGTAATTAGCAAATGAAAATTTTGTCACCATTTTAATAAGTACAATAATTTAGATAGGAATTTTTAATATTCATAGATACTCTGATAAATTCCCAAAATTGAGCTTGAAAAAATACTTCTAAACAATACAATGTTATCCTTGCTAAAACAATCTTAAAAATCTACGATCAATATTAGTAAATTATTATTCCTTAATAAAAATTATTTGAAAAAGTATATTAAATTGTCTATCAGTTTTTGATCAAAAAATAATAAACTTCAAAATAACCCTTAAACATTATCTTTAATAATCAAAATTTGTTGTTCTGTAGGTCCTTCAAAAATCCACGTTTTTTGGTACTTGAAGAACTATCCACGTTTCTTGGCCCTTGAAAAAAATATTCTCTAAAATCCACGCTAATTGGTCCTTAAAAATTACTCTTCAAAATCCACGCTAATTGGAAAAAATAAATATTCTTTAAATATCCAAGTTTATTGGTCCTTGAAAGAATATTCTTTAAAAATCCTCGTTTATTGATCCTTAAAAATATATTCTTTAAAAATCCAAATCCACGTTCCTTGTTCCTTGGAAAAATATTTTTTAAAAATCCTCGTTTATTGATCCTTAAAAATATATTCTTTAAATATTCATGTTTCTTGGTCTGGTGGGACTTGAAAATTTTTTCTTTAAAAATCCACGATTATTGGACTGCGGCCACTTGAAAAAAAATTTTGGTCCTTGAAAAAATTTTCTTTAAAAATCCACGTTTATTGGACTGCGACACCTTGAAAAAATGTTGATCCTTGAAAAAATTGTCTTTAAAAATCCACGTTTATTGGACTGCGACCCCTTGAAAAAAATGTTGATCCTTGAAAAAATTTTCTTTAAAAATGCACGTTTATTGGACCCTTTGTAAAAAATGTTGATCCTTAAAAAAGTTTTCTTTAAAAATCCACGTTTATTGGACTGTGAAACCTTGAAAAAATTTTTGATCCTTGAAAAAAAATTTTTAAAAACCAACGT